CTTTCTTAAGGAGATACAGATGCTTGCAGAGAATTGCTTTGGTTCAAATCCTCCAGCTCTTTCCAGGGGGAGGCAAAGTGCAAGAACGATAGCTATGTCCCTTTTTTGTTATATAAGATTGTAACCCAGCTGACATAGGGGCTTAGTATCCCAAACCACTGAGGAGCTAAACTTTATAGGAGATCTTGGAGTAGAAGTTATCAAAATCTTTGTATGGTGGTTGTATAGGAGCGAAGGGGATGGTTTAATGGCAGTTTGCGATGGAGGATACCGAGCAGAATTTTCAGAAGTCTACATCCTATTTTTAATAGCGACAAGTTGCATACGAATCTAAGCTCCGTTGGCTTTCAGTGAGACTTGCTATCTTGTACAAGCCTGGATAAGAAACAGGTTTTTCGGTCCCACAAGAATTTTTGAAATTTCCAGATATATTTTTATGTCCCATAGCAAGAGGAGGAGTAGAAACCAGGAAGCTTTATGAACTAGCAACCCCAAATTATTAGTTCAATCAAAAAGTTTCATTTTGATTTTGAATTTTTAAATATCAAATAAAATTCAAAGCAAAGTAATTTGGAACTGAAAAACTAAACATTTCATGGTGAAACAGGATGCTTCAACATATTTAAAGCCTCCTTCAATTTCTTTCTTTTTTTGAATCAGGAGAGTCATCAGACTGATTTTTTCCTTAAGCATGCTTTGAGTTAGTGATCTGTCCTCTTTTTAACACACTTCTTTCAGAACATTTCCAACCACTCTACTCCCAGGTTGCTTAGGTACTTTGGAAGACAACACTCATTTTTCCTCAAACCAGCTTGCATTTGCCTAAGCGCCCAGCCAGTTTATGTGGAGACTGCCAGTGTTCTGAGCATCAGTCGAAGGGTAAAAGCAGTTTGTTTGTCTTTTCCAGAAGAAAGGTTTTACAGCATTGACTGAAGATGGGTTTACTGGATTTGCCTGTTTTCTGGGAGTGTTATGTTGGCATTACAGGAAGATATTGTCCTTTAAAATAACTTCTGAAAGCACTTATTTTAGCCAGATTTTCTTTTGGGAACTTAATTTTTTAATTTTTGATCTAGATGGAAGTTGAAGGCTTGAGAAATAGATTGCTTTTCTCTGTAAAATATATATTTTTTTCTCATGGACTAGTATTTTCTTTCTTTGCTTAGGCTGTCTAGTTTTGCCTTTTTCTTCTAGATTAGCCCTTGCTTCTCTTAAAAATATTTTATGATTCATCAAAATATGTTTATCTGTATCCCAGAACTGCTCCTTTATTGACATTTATAGCAGCTGCTAATGCTATGAAGTGTTACCTTGGAGCATCCATCATGACTGCACAGTTCAGGTTCTAGAACTGTGAATATTAAATATGCATAAAACCGCATGAAAAGGAATTTTAAAAAGCATTAAAAATTATTATTTAGAAGAATCAACAATTTTTCTTTTATTCATTTTTTTTAAAGAATTCTTTCTCATTTTCTCTGCAAGGTGGAAACTGAGCATGGCTTCAGTATTTGTACATGAAGCATAAAGCATCAGGAAAGTTTGACCCCAAAATAATACAACTTAATATTTATTTAAAATATTTGTAACGCTCTTATTTAATCATAAAGCTCCTCAGTATAAGGCTGAGACTAAAAAGTTCTTTCACAGTAGCACTTACGGGCCCTGTAATTCAGGGGCAGGCAATTATTTTGGACAGAGGGCTGTGTGCTGAGTTTTGGCAAGACATCGAGTGCCAGGGGCAGATAAAAAATTTAGAAAATTAATATTTAGGGCCCCGTGGGCCAGATAGTATGGCCTGGTGGGCTGCATCCAGCCTGCAGGCCGCATTTTTCCCACCTGTGCAACAACTCCTGCTTCAGCCATGTGATTAAAATAGCATCCCTGTGCTCTCCCTCATGGCCAGTAGATTGCTGGGTTCTTATCAGTGTGAATGTCTTGCTTCTAACTCCTGTGGGGATGCTGGTGGACTTCTACATAGAATTTCATTTTGTGGCTGAATCCACTCTTTGGAAACAAAGTTTCATTCAAAATCAGACCCAAAGTCCAACATTTCTGAATCCACTAGGGAAGGGGAGGGAGCCACAGCTCGGAGGCAGTCTGTGACATGTGCTGCCCTAGAGCTGCAAAACCTAGAAGCCCAGCTGTGAACCTTGAAAGTCAAGCTGCCAAAAAGCCAGATGGATGAGCTGCCTGGTAACCACATGGCTTGCAGTGGACCTTGATCAGAATGGATTTATTTTTTAAATGAATTAGCACATTTTGTAAAAATGACTGGGATGAATCCAGCAGAACAACTCCAATAAGGGTGATGCTTAAAAGGGAGGAGAGACTGTGCAGTGGTATGTGTAGATATAGGGTTTGTGCCTATACACGTCGGTGGTCTCCAGGACCCTGTAGGACTAAAGGGTCACAGCTGCTATGAGGTAAGATAGCCCCCAGCCTTTCACCTGCCCCCCTATCTGCCCTGCAGGTGCCACTGACTGCCATGCTAAGTGAAGATATAAAACCCTTACTTTGGTGGCAGGTGGAGAGATGGAGCTGCCCTCCTGCCTCAACCCCCCTGATTCCTTCCTCCACTCTGCTCAGCCAGACCCTGTGGCATCTGGGACTCGAGCCCCAGTTCCTGGCCATTGCTCCCTGGACTCTGGACACTCGGGCAGAGCCTGGAGCTGCCAGAAGAGCAGTGTAGCAGCTTCTGTTCCAGCATCTCTCTCCCCACTTTATAATCAGTGCCCAGGGCTTGTGCTCCCCTTTCCTACCCCTAGTTACACTTTTGGGTGGGAGAACTTGCCTGAGACTTGGAGAAACCTGGCTTCCTTTCTGTGCCCTGCCACAGACTCCCTGAGTGAGCTCAGGCAGGTCACTTAATATTTCTTTGCCTCAGTTCCCCATCTGTAAAACAGGAATATTAGCATTTGCCAATGTCACCAGGTTACGGTGTGATAAAACTATAAGGTACTGAAGTTCTCTAGTAATGGCAGACTAATACCATAAATAAGCAGATGGGCATCTAGTTGCACTGCACAACCCCCTCACTGGAGAGCTAATTTTTCATGGGCACAGTTAATTTAAACAGCAAACGCTGTGCTTATGGACTGATGCTTTGCGTTGCCTAGTTTGCAATGGAAATTCCTTTGCCTCAAACGTAGTGGGTTCAAGTGATATACTAACAGTATTTGGCTCTTGATATTTAGTTTAAGTTACTTTTTTATAGTTTCGATTTTGGATTTTTTTTGGATTTTATTATTTTTTTTGGCTTACTGTTGGCGCTCATTACTTCTTGTAACTTTTAGTCCTCTATTGTGGCATCAGCATTGACAGGTGCTGGCATAAATGACAAGACTTTGACAGCGGCATAAAATAATATGGGTTTACATAATCCTGTGAAATTACCTTTTTCTGCCTGATACTTACTTACAATATCATAAGGTTCTGACTGGATTAGCAATATCATTCTGGATTCTGTTTGTTGTAGGATAGCCACCCAGATTATTACTCTGACTGTCAGAATTTTTTTTTTTACTTGTATGATATTTCTCTCTAGAGGGTAGTTTTTAATTCTTCTGTGTTTTTTGTTTTGCTTCCAAAAGACTCCGATTTACAGATCTGCCAACAGAGAGCACCTACCTGTTGCACTAAAAAGATGGAAGAAAGCTACCAGACAGCTGTTCGGAGAGAGAGGACTCAGAGTATCCAGGCATTGAACTTTGAACTGAAATACATGATTGTTGGTCATGTTACAGCTTTTCAAGGTAAGAATTTCATTAAACTTAATGACCGCACAAAAGACAGTGTTAATACTCTTAGCATGCTTAGAGATTCTACCCTAAAACAGCAGCAAGACTTCCTCATCAGGGTTTTTATGTTGCAGTGCATCATAGTTGCTTATTAATGGTTTGTTCCTCAGCTCTTCAAGGTCCTGACTGGGAAAATGCCTCTGTTCAGGGGAGAACTTCAGCATGGGTGTTGGATTAAGTATGTGCTTAAATGTAGTCCTAACTGGGCACATGGACTTAATTATGGAATTGGAATCTAGACTCTGACTGGAGTTTCTGAAAGCACGTATATTAGTCATTGTCAAACTACTGTTTCTACCTTTAAAATTCTCCTATTTGGTCATAATTTTTAAGGCAGAAAGTGTTAAAAATAAAAGCCTTTTTTGACTGATGTGACAGAATAGATGTGGTGACTGACGCATCCCTGAAAAAGCACTCTTCCGTAATGCAATAAAATAGTTCTGTATCTAAATGGTCACTCGAAGCCTGACACTTTTTAAAGTTATTATATAGTTAAATGTGAATACATGAGGGAATAGACGCTTGAAAAGTCCTGAAGATAGTAAGACTTAGTTTACTTTAACAGGTAGATGGGGGTTTTTTGGGGTGGTGTCTTGTGGTCATTGTGTTTAAAGAGTTTCACAAAGTGTTCAGCACTTTGCCTCTTGCTTAGAAGCAGTTATCAAAGGCTTATTTTTAAGCATATAAGTGGAATTCTAGATGTTGGGACTGCTTGGTTGCTTGTAACAAAGTACAGATCAAAATTTAGGTGGGACTTGGTAATTAGAAAATTTTAGGACAAATTCCTAAAGGACATCAAGGGAGAACTTGCTAAAAGAGAGAGTAGGATTCACATGATTTGGGGAATCAGAATTGCCCTATCAGGCTTGTAGATGTCTTGCAAAGATCATACTTTGGAATAAAAGGATAACTTCAAATAAATAAAAGTAGAAAAATAATTTAAATTTGACAATAACAGATGCTGAAGACTTTAAAAAAGGATACAGATACCATCTGAACATTTGCTTTTATGTTGCAGATGGGAAGGTTGGAGCAGTGTGTGAGGAATGGTATTTTGTTTTATTTCACAATTAGTCTTGGAAAATACTTCAGTATCCCACAAAGCTTTACAATGTGGTTGCAAGGCACTTTTGAGCAGCCCTGTGGGTAAAAAGGAACTACATTGGCGTTGTTGAATGCCAGGGAGTTATTCAAGTGATCTTCCAGTATCATGATAGTATAAAGATAAGGTCAAAACAGATTAACCCTGCCAGCCCTTTAAGTCAAGCCAGCAGCTTTATTGTTTGAGACTGATGAAGGTTTTTGATGAAGTGAAAAAAGTCATTAGACATTTCACATAGCTTAAATTTACAAGCATTTTCTAGACTATGTTACTTACTGAAATGTGTTGCAGGCAGCCTTCTGTGTTTTCTGCCTCGGTGAGGTGAGAACTATTGATAATATAACTTTTTTTTTCTTTTCTTGCTGTGAGAGCTGCTATTGTCCAAAGTGTCAGAGAAAAGCCGTGAGTTCTCGTCTTATGCTGTCTAAGCATTCTGTCACTAAGAGTAGTGCGGTATAAGACATTTACCCAGCAAGAAGATCTTTGCATTGAATTAGCTGTGTTCCTTTTGTCCGTTTTGGTTTGCTGCTCTTTTGCATTATTATAAAGTGTTAGAGTCAAAAGCAGATTAGCTGATTTAAAGTCCCAAGAAAACTTATTTTAATGGGGGAAGGGTGGGGAGGGGTAGCTCAGGTTTTCTTTAGGCTTTGTCCTCATAAATGCAAGAAAGTGTCAATAAGTTCAGCTACAAAGTTGTCACTTTCTAATTTTTTTTTCTGAGGGTGTCATCTGTATTGTACAGTTTTCTCACAGTTTTCTTTATGTTCTTGAATACTTTAGCCTTTTTAGAAGGAAACTCAGTACTGGGGTCTTGTTTCTACCACAGGAAAATGTCTTTGATTTTATACACTCCTCCAAGTCGGAAACGTTGTATCATTCAACCTAGTTATATTAATTGCAAAATGAATATGGCTTTTAGGGTGGGATTTTCAAAAGGGTTCAGTATTGGCCTATATTGGCTCCTCTTGAAATCCATTGGACTTGCCTGTAATGGTTTAGACAGGGATGATTTTACCCTGACCAAGTGGTTGGACTATCCTGAGGTCCTTTCTAGTCTTCCTTTTCTATGATTCTGTGGCTTCAGTGGCAGAGCAGTTAGGCCAGTACTGTGTGGCTTTTAGAGTTCCCACCATAGAAGGGTCTTTTCAGGACAAAATGATAAACGCATTTTAAAACATTCTTCTAGTTGGGTGGCACATTTTTTATTTTCCTTTGTGGAGGCCAAATTTCATTTACTTAAATGGTCTTTAATTTGGTTCTGAAACTGTTAATTGCAAAGCTCAAATATTTGATTAGAGGAGATTTTAATGTAGCTTGCAGCAGGTGATACAAAGAGGGTTCAACTTAGTACTCCCTTTTGAAAAGGATGTGAACCCCCAAAAGCTATAAGTATAAGATTTGGGAAGCTTCATGAATTTTTTAATTAAAAAATATCATTTTTTTAAAAAAGGTAACCAGAGTTGATATTATACAATTTTCACAGCTGCCAGACTCCTACAGAATTATTAGTGTGAGACCTCAATTAAACATATTGTGTCTGTGGATGGGGCTTGTTGTATTTGGATTTATGCCCATTTTGTGCATATGGACAGCTTTAGCACAACTGTTGAATCCTGCCTTTTCTCCCTTTTAAAATTTTTGCAATATTAGCAAACTGGTGCTAGTGCAAACACTTAATAAATCAAGTCTTCATGTTCTGATAATATTTTCAGCTCAAGTTCCTGTCACTTGTGTTGTTAGGTAATATCTGAGTTCAATAGGAAAAAGTGCCACATAACACTGGCTGTGGTCCCTGTAGACTGTGTTCCAGGGAGCCCTGGGGGTGGGGGGGAGGGAGGAAGGGTTTCTGGTATGCAGGACTCAGCTGGTCCCCTGTAGTAATAGAGGTTTTAATTTAGAGTGGTTGTTCCCCCCTTTTAAACTTGGCTGAGAATCGCTGATTTAGAGATCCTACCCTACTTAAACTACAGAAGTTGGGAACTGGGATACGGTGCCTTAGTTAAGGCACTTAGTCAGAAAAAGAGGTTGCCTACTGCTCCAAAATAAAGTTTATTTCTTCTCATTCCGGTATGCCTTCTTTTACTGAACCTGGTGATCACTATACCCTGGAGCTTGATTGGCACCTGCAGCATTTGGGTTCAGCGCTGAGAGAGTTGAGGTTATCAGGGTCATGTTCTCTACACCTATGAACTTGTCTTTGTATGTTGACATATTGAATGCAGTCAGGTTTCCATGTAGAGCTTTTGGGTACTTACAGATGTCAAACCCCTCCCCCCACCCCCCCAAACTGGCGCTTTAAGCTCAGTGTGCCCCTGCACCAAGCACAGTGCATGCCCAAAAGAGATGTTGGGTTAGGTTGACCTGGCTCGCCCAATGTCTGTGTAGATCGGGCACTTCAGCAGGGCTTTTTGCATTCAATCAGCTATTAGATAAAAGCACCAAAAAGCCCTGTTGAAGTGCCCGATCTACACAGACATTGGGTGAGCTGTGTCAGCCTAATGTACTTTTCTCTTCAGGTAAAACACTGGACTTTTTTTTTTTTTGGAGAGGGGGAAGGAGGACTGGGAATTCACATGTGTAAGCAGCCTTCTTGGCAAACTTGCTGAATTTGCTATTATTTGACACTTAAGTTCTAGTAGAGTCTAAAAGCTGTAACCTTTATGCCGAAGACCATCCAGACATCTTGTTAATGGCAGTCCCTGCCCCAAATAGCTGCTAGTCTAAAAGCAAAATTTAGCAGGTGGATGGGACAAATAAGTAAGCCGTTATGTGAAGTGGTAAGTAAATCTAATAGAAAGTGTATAGTTCTTGGCTAGCTTGTGGTGGTGAACCCAGCTCATTTTACCTTTCTACCCAGCCCCCATCAGGTTATGCTTTGCTGTATGGATGAGAAAAGGGGTGGGTACCCTGCCCCACATGCACCCACCCCTTTTCTAGCTTATCCAGCTTCTTGGGCTGGGATGATCAACCGAGATTTCAACAAAATGGAACAGGATCCTTTTATTCTGATTCAATTTTGCAGTAAAATAGCCTTCTTTGAACTAAGTATCTCTTTCTCTAACTTTTGTGCTTGCAAGCGATCGGCTGGATTGTCCTTGGTTAGAGTTTAACAGATTAATTTCCTTGTGGTGATACTACACATTATTTGACACCTTTATTCCCC